AAAGAGCACAACAAAACTTACCTAGTCTAGAATAGATGATACATGAAAATAGCTCCATGAACAAGGTATGAGATATACACAAAAAAACAACCACAAGCTAAGAAAAGAATATATTAACCTATCAAAACCGAAACTAAGGACAGACTGAAGTGAAGTATAACAAATGAAACAAACCTGTGGATGGATCTGGCCAATTCGTACCAACAGTGCTTGTATCAGTTCTCTGACTGCGTGGTTATTAGAATGTATTCTGGCAATTATTTGGGGCAAAACAACCAACCATGTGTTTATATTTACAAGTGAAAATCCTTTCTGTAGTGCCAGCTGAACCTCTGATGTGGCCCCATGGTTGAACCACAAAGTTAGGAGACGAAGGATATCCTGAATTCCAGGATTACATGCCCAAATATAAAAATATTAATGATATTTAATACAGGAAATAAAATAAGAAGTATTCAAGGGACATTCTGAAAGGCAGCCTTCAAAGCTGATTGATTAAAATTTTTTTCTAAGTAGAAATGAGGGAATACAAAAGCATTGTTCAGAAGATAAGCTGCGACCAGGTAAAACACGGTAAGGAAACCGATGCATGAAACAGGTGAAAAAAAGTACATATGATTGCAGAGAAAAAGAGTTGAAAAGAAAATCACCCTATATCCTTGACTATGAACAGCAACCATTCATTTAAAGCATTACCTGCAAACTATCATCCACTCCTTTAGCATGTGCCCCACAAGCTATGGAGTGAAAATATCCAGTGACAGCAGCAACAACAAACTGTCCAGTAATGCTCTGATAACCTCTCAAAGTGTAGTGAGACATGACTGCTGTATTGAAAAGTGCCCATTTGTGCCAAGCTTTTGCCCACTTTGTTGCACAGTGAGTTGCATTACGGAATGCATTGAGGATTTCTAATAACAAAAACACCTTACCGTAAGCTAGATGTAATAGAGCTGACAAAGGAACATCAAGATATATACATTGCAGCTGAAGTTATAGAGACATGCAACCATGTCTACAGGGGAGAGAGAGAGAGAGAGAGAGAGAGAGAGAGAGAGAGAGAGAGTGCCTTGTATAGAGTCGTCATCCAAACCAGGGGACAATGCCCACTGCCAAGTTCCCAATTTGAGATAAACACGAGCAACGAAAGGCATACTCGAGGAAGACGATATATCGGACTGCATGGACTGTTGAAAACCAGGCATTCTTGAAAGGTCCATGGCCAAATCCTAAAACAAAGACAAAGAAGACTTAATGAACACGAAACAGAAATACAATCAGCAATGCATCGAGAACTAGGAGAAGTCCGACACTTCAGATAAATTACCATACCTTCAGTCTGGTGAAAGCTTCTTTGCGCCTATGATCTTCCCCAATTGACCATTGATATTTCAAGTAAGCCAGAATAACTTGAGGGTCCCCGTGATATCGTTCGGTTTCAGGGGTTGATTCTGGATCGAACTGCACATCACAAAAGAGTGCTGAGCACATTATTCAAGTGATGGATAAAATAAAATGATTTACAAGAGATAACATGAATCGCTTACCTGTAAGAGTTTAGTTAGAGTTGATCTAGCTTGACTGGTTCTGCCACTTTTAAGGCAAAGAGAGGCGAACTTTATCCATGTCTCTGCATCTTCTGTAGGTGGAAGCACAAGTGACCTGACAGACAAAAGCGCTTGCCAAACCTGGATTTAGGAGTTGAGAGTCGCACCAGGATCACATTCAAAACAGTATTAGAGCTTCGGGAGGAAGGCGGATGCATGTACAATTGCAGATTAAGTAATTACAGAGAATGCAAAAGGTGGTAGTCAACCACCCTCCCGTCCCATCAACAAATAACCAAAAAATTGACTTATTATTCATTCGCTTTTCTTTACTGGATGAACGTCTGCAATTCCAAAAAGCTATTAAAAAGAAAATAAAGTTTGAAGATGTAATTTTCTTGCATTTGGAATTGAGTTTCATGCTAGATAAGCCATCATGATTACTCACAAAAATGCAAATATGGGATACTTTAGCGATAAGGAAATAAAAATTCTAAGAAATTATAAATTCAACTTATTTTCGATAATATATGTCTTCAGTAGTAAAAGTTAGTAACACATCAGCCGCACGCTAGAGAAAACCAAGGAAAGCTGTAATTGTACTAATTGGCCCTAGCAGGTAGGCCAGTGTACACACAAGTTTGCAAGTTTCAGGTGTGCTATTCTATATAAGGGGATATAATTTGTCTTCAGAATTCAGAATTCAGAAAATGAATACACATGTTCAAATATCCTAATCCAGGTTGCTATTCTACTAAATAATCAACGCAACTACAGCCAGCTCAGTTCTTAGTTCAAGACCAAGGACCTAATTTAAAACACCACATCACCATTTAGGGAGAAAATGTTCAGCCTCCTATAAAACATTGAAAGAATGCATTGAACCTCCCTGGCATATCACCCTTCAGTGAATTAACCTTGTTTGACATCCATCATTTCATTCAAATATTGGATCCGGTTAAAAAAATTGTTATTCCACATAATTTTCTGAATCCAATTCTTCAAGCTTGAAAAATTGGAGATGGGAAAAGAATCAAGAATATCTACAACAATATCACAATCAAAGAGTTCAAAAAATCAAAAATGAAAGTTCATAAAACGATTAAATTAAAGATCAGAAAAGTGGTTATGAGTTCGACTAAATAAATAACCCAGAACATTTTCATGACAGCCTTCATCTATAAGGTGGGAACACTGAGGCAAGTAAGAAAAATATAACTGTTTTATAACAAACCAACTGAGAAGAAACAAGTCGAAGAAGTGTTTTTAGATTTGTTATTACCATAGGAATGGTATCTATTTTTCCAAATCAATGCCAAGAATGAATTAGTAAAGATAGTTCTAAATGTTCCACCTCAACATTTCGTTTTGCGCCTCTTATTCGTTCACTCCACATGTTCCGGATGAGGGCCCTCCGTCCCTCAGAAACAGGGTTTCCAGCAGGCAGTGTACAGTAATCAATGACCTATTCGAAGAAGGCATCACAAATTTTTATTAGGATCGTAATGCTTCAACAATTTACACGCAACAAAATCAGCTTAGGCAAAAGGTTCGTGAAATGGTTAAAGAGTATATACCTCCTCCAATTCTGATAGCTGCTGAACGCGGACCATATTGCTGTATGCACGTTCATAACTTTCAAGAACCTAGAACGGTGGAAACAGATATGATTTCAAAGGTACCCTGACTTCTGATATGTTCCGAGTGTAACATCAATCTCAATTTGATACTTATACATATTATCCCCACTCAACTTCTACTAAGCATGCCACATTATGCTATTTATATCTCATGACTCAGGAGTTTTTCACCTATAATTAGTAGTTTCTTTCACTGTTTTGGTAATAACGCTATGCTGGACCCCATGTTAAAGAAAAAAAGAATGTGGGGCAGCCACATAAGAACCAACTAGGCCTAAGACAATAGAATAATATGACACTATAAGCCAGTATTTTTCAATCGGAAGCTGGTATTTGATCTTTTACTCAACAAAAGATGGAGATGGAGAAAACTAACCAATGCAGCCACTTCAGTAGCCAAGCATTTCCTTGCTCTTTCAACATATTCGCGTGCCTCATCGTACTATATTTCAGAAGGAGAAGAACAATCAGACCACTTTATCAATGAATAAAAAATCAGAAATAAAAAGCTAAACCTTTACCTTCCCTCTACGAACTAATAAAACAGCCCTGAAGAAAGTTCCATTACTGCTCCCATCCCCTGTAGCAGCAGTATTACCCAAAACTCGAAGCTTGGTTTCGTCTCCATCATCCAACCGAGAAACGTATTCTGCCATCTGATCCCACTCACCCATGTTCCAAGCAGCATTTGCAGCCTACATTACCAGAACATGCGCTTTTTTAAATGAATCAAGCAGGAATAAATGCTATACACTTTTCAAAAAACATCTTCAACCATTGTACAGGTAGCAACAAAGATCATATGGGTGGCAATGGCATCATGAAAAGAAATACTAAGTATCTTGGTTTATCGTTATATACCAATCAGGAAATTAACTGCCATTATTAAGCAAATTGGATATTAAAATGACTGTTGGGATTGCTGTTCTGTTCTGTTCAGTTCAGTTATGATTAGCATTAATGTTTCGGCAAACCAGTTTGAAACGTTATTCAAGGCAATCTGCATGAACTTCATTAGGTAAAGCAAAAGTAGAACAGCCAACAGAAGAGAGAATGACGTAATGAGATGAACAATCATTTGAAGCCAAAGACAAACCATTGGGGCCATTTCCAGTCTAGCAGCTGGCTCAGCAGGTGTCCAATACTCCTTGCAGAGATTGTTGAGCTCTTCCCATCTAGCAAGTGCAGCAAGGCATCTCATGCGTCCTTGAGAGGATAAAAAGAGTGAAAAATATAAACATAAAAGTGAACAAAGAGCAAGAGTATGGGCGAAATATAAAAGAAAAAAATGAGAAACTCTTGATTGCGGGTGTCAAGGAAAAAGATACAAGTGATTACATAGAACAGAAGCATTGAACAACAACAACAACAACAAAGCCTTTTAGTCCCAAACAAGAACAGAAGCATTGAAGCAGCAATATATATACATAATTGTAAATGGACTCAGTACTAGCATAAAATCTACTTTAAAGCATCACACTACTGTAAAGATGTAGCTTGGATAACTCCCTGATTGTTCACAAGAAAGGCAGGGTGGGTGATGCCAGAATGGAAGACTGGGTATCCAGAAAACCAAATGCATTTAAAGTATTTCATTTATCATATAAAAGGATGTTTGTTTGGCTGCTTCAAGAAAATTTCATTCAACAAAGTACAAAGTTAATCAAAATACTTTTCGCTAAATGAATTTGAAGTATAGAATGAATTGCTTTTAGCACAGAAAAGACTTTCATTTGTTACTGAAACAAGAAAAAGAACTATCCAACTTGAAACACAATAATATCAACACGTATTTATACAGTGATATGCACCTAGCGTTGCTTCCAGAATAAGATGTTGGCTTGATACTTGAGAGGCTTTGACGGTGTAGGCTTTGAGAGCATCATCCCATCGCTGGAGTTTCTCATACCTAGACAAACACATGTTCACTTGAGTGACAAAATAAGAGCATAAATAATATTATTGAGTGTACTTGCAAGTTCCCATATCACAACAATTACTAGGTATTGCTAATTCTAAAGTTTGATGGACAAGGGTTGGAATGAAAAGCAATATCATTCAAACTAAACAAGCAACAGAAGATTTTTAGAATAGTAAGTATTAATTTACCATGACTCCTTCAGTTGAACCCCCAAATGTTGTTGAGCATATGTCAATATTCCAACTGCAGCCTGGATACACAAGTAAGACTTCATTGAGTTCATGAACATAGTTTGTTTATTCTTTAATGATGAAGGGAAAAAAGGCTGCATGTAACAAGCAACCTCGTGTTGGTGCAATTGGTTGTTGATATGAATAAGAGCTTCAACTACAGCAACAGGGTTGCCGTCCATCCTATTTGAGCATGCACCTTCAAATTCCATCTCTTTATAGTGCAGAGCCTTTGCAAATGCACGACACTGAAATACATGAATTGCGAGAGATTCATATCATACTCTTCAACTTAAACTAATACTCATGGCATGTAATTGCTATCAGAAAAGTCCCACCTTTTCTGCTAGGGCACCCAGTAGACGTATATCAATAGGAAGGGGTCTCTCATCGTGTTCCATAAACTCAGCCTGGAAAAATCAGTCTACAAGTTGAATGGCTGAACAACTTCAGGTACACATCAAAAACAAATGATGCACCAAAAGATAAGAAATTTCATCTCATGTACTCATCCCATTTTTACATCAGCAGAAACCAACAATAAATAAAAGAAGTTCTAACCCATAACACCTTCACCCAGCCAATTTAGTCTCAATAGCATCTTTCAGAACTCTAGAGTAAGTTCTAATTTATGATGTTGCATCTAGATACTCTGTATAAAGAAATTTTTAATTGCCCAGAAGTCTGCCAAGGAAAACAAAGATAAATCTCCACTTGTGGAAGGATGCAGCGTTTAAGCATATGCTTAGTTTGTCCTTGCTAGTTAAATTGAGCTAACATAGATTTCCATCTTAGCAGTTATCAACAACCAGAAGCAATTGCTCAAATACTTAGTATTTATATTCCGGAATGGCCAGACATATATCAAATTAGATAGAAATATTCATCTGAATTTGCAGTATAATTTTTCATACCAAGTTCAAAAGTGTGGCAAGAATTTCGGGAGGTATGTTTGGAGATGAAAATGCCATTTCCAAACTTCGCACCAGCTGTCTTCGGCAAGGCTCATTCAGCTCTGTCCAGCAGCTGACAAAACCAGCCGCAAACAACTCCCGTCCAACAAAAGGCTGCAAAAAATAAATAGCATTAAAGTTCTAATCACTGAATAACTTTTTATTCAATTATAGTTCTCAGCTATGCTCAGATTGAGAGCCAAAGAGCATAAGAAACAACAAAAATTACTTGAAGTTGGGCAAGCTTGGCACATGTTCTCAGAGCAGGTGCAGGTGATTCCTTCAATAGTTCAATGCTAAAATGTCTCATCCACTCTGCCCAGTCCTCTCTCGTACTGCGTTGAGAAGCTTCCCCCGCAGCACGTATCCGACCCTCATTAACCTAAGAAAGTTGTAAAGGCAATTAGGTTTACCAACGTTAATAATAATAATAAATAATAATAATAATAATAATAATAATAATAATAATAATAATAATAATAATAATAATAATAATAATAATAATAATAATAGAAAAACAATATCAAGTCAAATAAACACCAGCAATAAACAAAATTATTATTCTTGCATATTCCCATGATAACTTGAGATGAATTAAAGGATTGACACATGAATTTAGTATTCCAGCATCACAAATTTATAACATGGCACTCAAATACAATCAGTTCAATGAAACAACATATGAAATATATTCAAACCCTTCTCCAATAATTAAAGGATTGACATATGAATTTAGTATTCCAGCATCACCAATTTATAACATGGCACTCACTATATTTCCTGTGTACGAACTTGACCAACAATGCTTATTGACCCCTATATACCATGGTTTAGAAAACCGGATCAGACCGGCCGGTTGGACTGGTTTAACTGGGAACCAGACATCTCGGCAGTCCGGTCTGAGGTGTTGAACAGTTGGGTTCAAAAACCGGTCATAAACCGTCCGAACCGTTCAAAACCAAGTAAAACCGTCGAACCGGAAACGGTTCCAACGACCCAACAGTTTTACACATGGCTTCCTTCTAACTTCATTGTAAACACTCCACTGCTTTTATTCTTTTCCGATGTGGGATTCTGTAGAGTGGTATACTTTCCACTTTCCCCCTTTTTACTTGTGGCATAGGCCAAAAGCCCAATGAATAATTTGGGCAATGTTTAATTTGTTCGGCCTGGGCCAAAAGCCAATTTGAACATTGTTTAACTTTTTTTGTTTTAGCGTGGGACACAGCCAAATTGGGCAATGTTTATTTATTGGTATTTTAATATATGTATGCAAACCTTTTCAAATTCAAAACCAAAACCCAATGTAAAAAAAATAAAAGTTAAAGACATATTATATTATTATTATAAATTTACAAATTACAAAAACAAGTACAAACCTTATGTAATAAATTTAACATTTAACATTTAATCTAATAATGATAAAAATATATACAATTATATATATATTAACAATTATATTAACAATTATATATTATACATACAATTATTTTGTATATAGAGAAATGTCATTATATAATATATGCAATTATATGTTATACATATAAAATAAATAAAAAATTATATATTAATTAAACTGGTTCGACCACTGGTCCGACCAGTGAACCATTGAACCGATAGCTTCACCGGTTCGATGACTGGTTCTGTTTGCAAAACCTTGCTATATGCTAACACCTACAATTAAGCGACTACATTGATTATCCACTATTAAAAGAAAATCTTATGATATACCTTATGAGGCTTGTGTGGATCAACTCTACACTCTGGATCCTCCGTATCATTCAAAGGGTCGCTAATAACTTCGCCTGGAAGTCGACGACTTTGTTTTTGAACAGCATTCCCTAGAATCAATGGCTCCCTTCTCTTTATGCGATCTTCAATTTCTTCAAAATCCTTATGCTGGTCAAGAAAGATAATATGCTTGAAAATCATAATAAGCCCGAGAATTACCTTCCGTAATGGTGAATAGATTGGCGGAAATAAAGATATCAACCATACCCGCATGCGATGCTTCAACAAAAGCTTATGGATGGAAGGTATGAAAATAGTGAAGTCTTCACCAAGGGAATGAGCTAGACAACAAAGTGCATCAACAGCATCTTTCCTGAGCTCATCATTTTTCCTGTAAAATTAATAATGTAAAATTAATAATGTATCTTGAGTAAAGTGGAAAGGGAACTAGAACAACTATCATAGACAAGGATCGGCTTACTCAAACAAGAAAAAAGGTAAGCCTCTCCAGGAAAGAGTAAATTCATTTTGTATTTCAACCTAAGAACTCTATTTAATAAAGCTAGGTAACTAAGTCTTTCTTATCAGATTGCGGAACATGTATTTTCAAGTTGCATACACAGCTACCTTGAAGATAAAATGCATTGCAATACAAGGACACATTTCGGTGAACTTTATTTATTCCATATAGTTAACCAGAACGTTCCAGTAAACTGCTATTAAATACATAGAAAGGCAACACACCACTACATGAGCACACACATGGACCACCACAAAGTAAAAAATAAGACCATGTGCAGTTCTGCAAGATACTATGGAGCAGTGTTATCAAAGGGTGCATGGCAGTATGCCGCGGCTCATTTTTTAAAACCGTCATGCTAAATTTGTGAAGGATGGCGGTAATGGCTCCCAGCGCCATAGGCTGCCATGGAGGGGATTTTGGCCTGCCCCTACTTACCGACATCCGCCATTAATAACATTGCTATGGAGTAAAAGTGCATCTATATGATGGGCACTTCTACATAGGAAATTTTCAGGGAGTGCTTTCGGGTAATATTAAGTGTTCTGAAGACATAAAAATTAAATTCCCATTAGATAGTAGTAGAAGAAAGAGAAATCCAACAGCCACAAACTAGCACATCTCTAAAATTGACTTCTAGGACAAGTGATTTATCCAGAGCCAAATACAAAGTGCTGCCAGAAGAAATTTATTCAAATTCTACTTTTCTGTAAGAATTACAACGGATCCGGGTCTGAGCCGCTTAAAGATGAGTTCTACTCCATTTGTTTCGACAAATAGTAAACGACAATATAAAGTACACCACTGCATATTATTACAAAAAAGAAATGAGAGGAAAATCTAACCCGTCCAAGACTAGCTTCAGGTGATGCACAAGAGCTGATATGTGACCAGTCACCTGGTTAAATAGAATGAATGAACACATAAATCAACCATAATAATAACCTATATAGAAGCCAGAAAGGTTAGAATAAAATTCAACCTGTACACGAGGAATCAACTTAGTAAGTGTTTTAATAGCAGCACGCCGCACTTCTACAGAAGCATCCAACTTAAAGATTCGAATGAGTGCAGGAAGAAGAAGATGCATATGCTCATCCAAAGTTCCTACAGATTAGATCAAAGACTTCACATATACAGATGTTATCAAGGAAGTCCACCACAAATGGCTTAAAGAAAAGATACCAACCGCCAAATACTTCAACAGTTCGGAGAATGTCAACAACATAAGTGTAGTCTTTAAACCTCTCAGCATCACTTAGTACTTGAATGCAGGATGGAAGAATAAAGGGAAGATGTGTCCTAAATTCATCATTAAGAGCCAAGCAAAGTTGCTCAAGCAGATGGAGGACCTAAAATTGCAAGGCAAGAAGTTTATAATCAAATATATAAACAACTTCTGTACAAGAACAAATTCTGTCTGGAGAATAAGCAGCAATTGAACAACAAAAAAGTTTGTTTACCGGAGATCCATGGACTAGTCTGCTGTTAGCAGGCAAATTGAATGATGACCATAATTCTGATATTAGAGAGAATAAATCTGGAAGATATTTCCGAATATGCTGCATAAACAGAATAATAAAATAATGAATCTCAAGATGATTGGTAAATCGGGAGAGAGGGATACAGAGTACATACCTGGCGAACAATAGAAACCAATGTTCCAAGTTTCCATGTAATATACTCCTTAAGATTATTATCCTCACACGTACGAACAGTATGAAGAAGTTCAGGCAGAACCTGATAGGAGCAATATCATTCAAAATATTAGCTTTAACAAGATCATTGTGATGAGGAGACAGAGAAAGGAAGGGGGAGAAAGAGAGAGCAGCATTAACAACATTATTATGTTAAATATAATTCATTACACTGCAGAAACCATAAAACATTTCTTCATATATCAATTTTGAAACCTAGTCGTTTAGTATTGATCCTTTTATTGCATTTGCTACTAGCAACAGTAATCCTTCAGATCTGATCAAAATTGAACGGTGCAATTTGATATACTTACTTTCTGATATTTTTTTCTCCCACTACAAAATAGTGATAAAATAACATTTCGAGAGAATGATAAAAGTTTTAAAATGTGAAATGATATAAGATGAAAACTTTATGATTAAAGTTATTTGATCGATCAATCGTAAAATGTTGACTGATAATTAGGAATATGTGCCAAACGAATAGCGAAATTTTATATGGGAATGTGTAGTAATGATAGGTTTTTATTTAAAAAAAAAAAAAAAGAACGATGAAAGAAAAAGTGAGATGAGTGGGTAGTGTATTTTTTGATGAAAATTGTATTCGATCGCTACTTTCAAGAAAAAAAATTAAAAAAAAAATAAAAAAAAAAATCCTTGGTGGGATGAAAACAAAAATGTTCTGTATCGAATGATGTGGCCTAGACGACCTCTTTCAACTGGTTTTGAAGATTATCCAGTTACACTTCAAGACTGAAACATTATTACACAGTGGTGCATGCAAGCTCAACAAGGGATCTCCAAGGTACAAACAGAAGTGTGAGAACATGCAGTTGGTGTCATGGTTTTTAGAAGTCGAATAGGCTGCCCATCTACTCTTCTTTTGTTAAACTTAAAGAAGCACATTTAATAACATACATGAGTAATAACTTTCAAAAGATTTATAACAGTTTGCTACTTTCCTAGACATCAGTGTCCATTATACTTCTGATCATGCCACACATTCACAAAGCATTTCACAGTTCAGTTTGTGCATGTCTTCTAAAGTAAATCTTGGGTATACAAATACCTCAAACTTAAGCCTCATATAACAAGGTGCTATCCGTTAAAGAATGAGTGGAAGAAAATACCTTCACATCTGATTGCTCTAGCAAGTAAGAATAGAAGCATTATATTAAGTAGAGATGGAAAATGCACAATTGACTAACCTTGGGTAAGTAAGGAACACAACCAAGATTCATTGCCTAATCTCGCAAGAAAAAAAAAAAAAAAAA